GACTTGCTCCAGCAGCTCCATGTCCTTTTACGTTGAGGACACCAGAACTGTACACAATACTTCAAATAAGGCCTTACAAAAGCAGAGTAGAGGGGCAGGATCACCTCCTTCGACCTGCTGGTCACGCTTCTTTTGATACAGCCCAGGATACAGTTGGCTTTCTGGGCTGCAAGCGCACACTGCCTGCTCATGTCGAGTTTCTCATCAACCAACACCCCCAGGTCCTTCTCCGCAGGGCTGCTCTGAATCTCTTCTCTGCCCAGCCTGGAGCTGTGCCTGGGGTTGTGCCGACCCAGGTGTAGGACCTTGCACTTGTCTTGGTTAAACTTCATGAGGTTGGCATCAGTCCACCTCACAAGCGTGTCCAGGTCCCTCTGGATGGCATCCCTTCCCTCCAGCGTATCAACCGAGCCACACAGCTTGGTGTCACTGGCAAACTTGCTGAGGGCGCACTCAATCCCAGTGTCCATGTCACTGACAAAGATACTGAACAACACAGGTCCCAACACTGATCCCTGAGGGACACCACTCGTTACTGGTCTCCAAGTGGACATTGAACCGTAGACCACAACTCTGTGTGCGGCCATCCTGCCAGTTCTTTATCCACTTTATCCACTGATCTTCTTATCTGTCAAAAATGTTGATCTACAAAGCTTGAAATAGAAGACTTTTAAATATGGAATATTGTTAAAGCTAACTGAAAGAGATGACTAAGTGGATTTGACTAGCACCCTTTTAGCATGAGTTGTTCGTGTAGGTCAAAATTGATTTTGAGGGCAGAGAAGAAGAGAAACAGGAAGAAGAAGTAGAGGAGTATCTGTACTGGTGGTGTCCCACACAGAATGAGAGCTCACACACTTGTGTTTACAATGGTGCAGAGGTTTAATGGCTTGGGGGCATCATCTGAAGAGCTGGAAGGGTTTGAAAGGCTGGATATAGCAAATGACACTTCATATACTCAAACAGGAGTTTGCTGTACATTCTTGCTTGGAGCTTGCCTACATCTGAAAATAAGTTCTGCTTATGGAATGCTTTCGGTTTCAAGTACAACAGCGATCCCTTAATCACTTAATAACTAGGCAAGCCCATAGCTTAATCTAGGTACCTTTGTAAAGGGACATCAAAAGGCATCTCTTCAATCTCAGGGACAACCCTGCTGGAAAATTTCATACCTCTCTGTCATTCATGGACCAGAGAACTGATGAGAAATGATCACCTGTCAGTATCTGAGATGTGATCTACTACAGACTTGAGCCAGACCTTGCGACAAAGATTCACATTTTAAAAGGAACAAACAAAATAGTAGATAGGAATATTGTAGCCTATCATTTATAGGCACCCAAATAGATTCTGATTTACAGAACAAAACATGTCTTCTGATATCCCCATCAGTGTTTATATATCCTTACCAGTACTTTTAGTATAAATCCTGGAAAATACAATTCTGTCGTTACAAAAGACATAAAGAAAATAATTGTATTATTTCACACTATATGTGCTAGACACAGTTAATGAGTCATAAAAGTGGAAAGAAAATGGTTGGAATGTGTAAAATCCCCTGCATCTTTAAGGTGTGTGTGTAAAATCCCATTTTCCTCCCATAAAAGGCATCCTGCAAGTATTGTATATGACCACACAATCCAACTTAGCGTTGGTGCTTCCAAGGGAATCAATTAAGTTATTTATTCTCCCATTAAGAGAAGGGTCAATGCATGAGATACAGTTTTCCATTCTCAATACTCTTCCTTTGAAAGATTCCATTGATACAATAAAATAATTACAATTTGCCTACCTTTAGTGTCTACCTTTAGACACAACTGCTTGAAAATCTTCTACAGTTGGAACTTCAACTCTTTAAAATACGTATGGCCACCACCACTCACAGCCCTCTGTCAACAGTGCCTCTGGTTACCTTGTCAGAAGTGGAACACTTCAAGATTAGTCATTTAACCAGTTGGACTGATTTGCAGACAGAGTCCAGGATTGCTCCCTGCCTCCTGGATGCTACGCTGTGGGACAGCAACACTGGTGCTGCAGCTAAAGCTGTAGCAGTGTCTGTGGCTGACATAAATGGGGCAGCTGCATTTGGGAATATTCACAGGCACTGTGAAACAACTGTAAGCACTGTAACTTCTCCTTGCTCCATCTGTAGCTGAGAAGCTACTTAGGATCATAGTATATCTCACAGTTCATGTGAATGAGAAAAAATCCCATACGATGCCTTCTGACACTTGCATCCTTGTATTTTTTTCTTCAGCAGTTTCTCTGCTATACATTCACATTAACAGCACAATTCTGCAGAGATCTTCCTGTTGTTCAGGAAGTGTCATATTTATCAAATATATAACCTCAGTATTTTGCTGTGCTTCTCTAGGATTTGACTTCCTTAAGTAAGATCAGGAGTATCACCATTAAAGTTCAGGATCTTGTGTTTTCAGCTCACAGCACAGCAGCTGCTTACAATTGAATCACTCTGTAGCACTGTCTGCACTTACAGGATGTAGGTGATAATTCCCAGAGACCACATGTCCACTTCAGGGCCGTAGGCACATCCCCGTAGTATCTCTGGTGCTGCCAGTGATAAAACATGTATCAGTAAAATGAAAGTTGAATGCAGAAACAACAATCACAAAGTCAATTTAAACTCTGTGCACACTTCTAAGTGTCTTTTAAAAAGTTAGGGTCCTCTCCTTTAAGCATTTAATTAGGCAAATAATTTCTTTCACTGAGAATAAAGCAACAGAAGTCATGTCCAAGCACAGCAGATCAAAATGAAAAGTAGATTTTGGTTTCAAATTGCTTTGTGTTTTTGGTATTCTGTTTTGATTGCAAGGCAAGACATGACCATTTCAGGCAATCGCTTCTGCTGCAGTGCAGAACAGGCAGGAAGGCCAGGCAGTCCTGGGGGACTCTGGCTCTGCATGGGTGAAGATGAGTTAATCTCTGCCAGGGTAGCTTGACAAACACTCATCAAGGAAAGCTGAGTAGACCATTGTATCCCTCAGACAGTATTTGTTGCTGCTGTGTGTGACTAAAAGTGGGCATGGTTGCACACTGAAACTGTGACATGCCTACCTTGAGTGCCCCTGGCCCTCTCCCCGCCAAGGCTCATAGGTTTGTCCACCCTCGAGGTTTGCCTCTGACTGGGCAAACTTCCCTGGGCAAAACTTCTGAGGTGGCAGAATGGAAATGCCACATCTCCATTGTACAAGATGGAAGTGATTGATACTGGGAGGAGAGGGGGGCAAGAACCTTCCCTCCCTCACATTTTGGCCACAGACAAAAATACCCAACTAATTTGGAAAAAATAATTAAAAAGACAACCTTGAGACACACTTCCACATGTCAGTAGCCCTTCTTCTCAGCAACCACTGTATCTGTGTTAATATCCATCAGATGTACAGGATGGCAGCACAGCCCTTGAGCCCACCACCTCTACAATGCAAGTGGGATGGCTGCCACATTTCTGGGGCCTGGTGGACTTGCTGCAGCTATGTGCATCAGCACTGCAGCATGTGCACATCACTTTCACACAATCACAGAATTACAGTCTGGTTTGGGTTGGAAGGAACCTTAAAGCTCACCCAGTTCCAACCCCCTCCCATGGGCAGGGACACCTTCCACTAGACCAGGTTGCTCCAAGCCCCATCCAACCTGTCCTTGAACACTGCCAGGGATGAGGCAGCCACAGCTGTTCTGGGCAACCTGTGCCAGGGCCTCACCACCCTCACAGAGAAGAACTTCTTACAAATATCTAATCTAAATCTCCCCTCCATCAGTTTAAAGCCATCCCCGCTTGTCCTGTCACTACAAGCCCTTTGTAAAAAGTTTCTTTCCTGCCTGCATTATACTTTCGCAGCCATGTTCATCAGGGTCAGGAATGTCTGGGGCTTCCTGAAATGTATGACAGCTCCTTGCTCAGCCTGAAACTTTGGTTGCCCAAAAGGACTGACAAAGGCTGCCAGCATGATCCTGCTTTGCTCCCACCCTTACTCTAGGGCAGGTGGCTCTCCCGAGGAATGTGCTGCAGCTTCCTGGGGGAGCAAGGCTCCCCAGGCATGATTTTAATCAGAGTATACATACTTCCCTAATGGCCTTCAGGCAGCTGGCTCAGACTTCTTCAACTTACCTGAAGGATTTACCATGCAGGGAACACATCAAACATTTTTACAAAGCATTAATATAGAAGGCAAAGGACATTATTCCCTGTTGCTACATGGTACAAAACCTGGACAAATACTTACAGGCTAACCACAGATTTCCCCTGCCTTTGTATTCTTCTCATAGGTAAAGTGATGAACAGAGAAGGGCTGATTTTGAGCAATGACATTAGGTTCCAACTGATTTTAACGTGTAGCCAACAAGACAGCTTACAGGCAAATCAGCCAATGACCTCAGAGAAAGAGATGGAGGCAGACTGGGAAAAGAGATGTTAACCACTCTTCTTCCTGCCATGTTTGTTAATGCCATGTGTGGGGTTCTAAAGTAAATAAGACAGGTTTTGTGTTTATGGCCTATATGCTTCCTCTCTAGAGAACGCAATGTTTCTTGGGATGTCTTCTTGCTCAGAATAAGGGCAGCAGACACTTTCTGCCCTTCTTTGGCTTTTCTCCTCTGTGGTATTGCAAAACAGCCATAAAAGAGACCAAAGATTTGTCCATTTAGGTCTGCCTTGCCACCTGGACTGTGATTACACAGCTATACATTTTGTAAATACAATTTTTCAGCATTTCCAGAAGTTTGCTTTTGGTGAATGGATTTGACTGATACATTGCTATTAGTTTAGATGTTGGCTGTAACAGACTTATGACTCACTGCTCTGCACTGGCTTATTTTTATGCTTATTTTCTGCTACTGTCAGAAATCACTTATGCCCTTCTCATTAAGTTCACTGAAAGCACATTGTCTCAGCAAGTTCAGTTCTTCATGACCATCTTCTTGCCCTCAGTCCTCTGCATCACACTGCATGTCCCAGGGACTGTAGATTGGTAAGTCTTGATGCCAAAGGACCCAGACTCCTGTAGGTGTTTTTGTTGCTGTGTCCTTTCTAGAAAAGCTGCTGATAGCTGGGTGGGCAGGATGTGAGAGTTGGCAGCCTGTGACTATCAATTATTCATAGTTCAATCTGGCATTTTAACAATTTTCCTCCTGGATTTCTTCCACTTCTGGAAGGTAATGCATGAATATTTTCCAGGCACCAGGAATTCTGCATGGTCAGTGACCTCAGGTCATGAAACAAGGATTGCAGGTGCATGTCTGTGGGCACAAAGCCCCTTTCTTCTCAGCACAGACATTCAGTCTCAAACCTCCCCAAGAAATAATCCCTACTATGAGGGCTCTTCTATAGGAATAAAACTTATCCTATTTTTACAGTATACAAAGACAGTCATAGAAAGGCCTAAATACTATCTATTTATCTATTTATCTGGTCAACAAGAACATTAATGGCTAATATGTGAAGTACAGATTTATGAAACTAACTGGAATTCAGTGCTACTTCTAAAGCATACTTGGTTCCTTTATGTGCTTGGCAGACAATGTCATACGAGGTAATGGACATGTCACCTTAATTGCATTATCAGCTGTGCTATGAAGTAACAGAGTAATCTTACGGTCTTCCCCAATGCTTTGCTTTTACAGTTATAAAAACAAATGCCAAGTGTCCAGTTTCCACATGGCTTAGCTCAGCTCTGTCCAGAACTTCCGGATATGCTTAGCACTCAGCACACTGCTAGCAGCTTGAAGCCTCTTGCAGAAGCCCATTTAGGATCTAGAGTTCAGTGAGAATTGCAGAAATAGGTTTCTCCATAAGATCACATTGATTGCTTGAGATGAGCATTCACAATGGGTAGCCCAGCAAGCTTGCCCTGGTATAAACAAGACCACTAGACTCTCTGGTCATTAGCTGGCTTGCTGTCATGAAAGGGTCTTGCAATGAAGGTTGAGAAGACTGCAGAAGCAGCTGCTATCCTCTTTTGCCAGACAGGCTCCTTCTTTTGCATGTTCTGGCACTGAAGGATCCATTTCTGGCTCATTTTCTGGTTCCAAGAGTCCAGGCGAGCTTCTGCACACGTGAGGAGCTAGCTGTCCCTGCTCTGACCATGAAGCTGTGTGCAAGGGTGCTGTACCAGCAGCCCAACAGCATGCTCAGGATGCCCTGCTGAAAGCTGCCAGGCACTCTCAGAGGCTCCGGCCAGCGGCTGCCTGCTCAGCTTGCCATCCACCACACAGAACTGAGCCAGAACACACCAGGGCTCTGCGCGGGCACGCATGCCAGAGGCTTGCCACAGGGATGCAGCATCCCACAGGTCCATGCTGTCCCCTCCAACCTGGGGATGCCACTGCTGAAGAAAGTCTGCTGTTTGTAGGGGATGCAGGCTGGGCACATCCCTGCTGGCAGCAAGATGAGCACCTGCCACAGCCTCAGAGCGAAATGCTCTCCCCTCCATGAGGGAATGGCCACTCGGGCTCGGCAGCGTCTTTTTAGATTTACTTTTTTTTAAGATCTGTTGTATGCCTCCTTTCTCCCTGCTGTGGTGGGTTATGTGGTTGAACTCTGGCTCAAGCATGTAATTTCCCAGTTTCTAAATTACTAAAGGAAATAAAATTACCATCGTTGTGTAATACATTAATTTGTGACCCTACTTTAAGTAATAATTTGATTTCTTATATGTTAAAAAAACAACTTTAAGATAAATTAATTGTAAGCAATATTAAAATACTCATTATTGCTATGAGGTCTATAAATTTTTCATGGTTTCCACTATGCCTTTCATAGTCCAAAATCCTGCTGATGCCTCTCCAGTATTATTTTAGTAATTTCAGCATTTTCTAGAATGGTTGAACTTACTTCCATGCAAGTAATGAACTTGCACCATGACATATATTTCAATTATTAAACTTCAGTGCTACAGAATATGAGTTTAGAGAAACTTAACCCAGTGCCAATTCTGAATGTTAGGTTTTTATTTCTGCTTTTTATGGGCTTTTGGGTATTTGACTCTAGGATGGAGCATTTCACCTTGGAAAGAGAAAATGTAACACCCTCACATTAAGTGCAGCATACTGTAAATAATAGAGCAACATACCACAATACCCTGGAGTTCCACAAACTGTCTTCATGGTCACTTGATCTTCCACAATCTTGGAAAGTCCAAAGTCAGCTGTCAAGATTGTTTAGGAATATTAATGTTCTTACTTCATTGTAAAATCACTTTTTTTTTTTCTTTTTATATTGTATATGTAATCAAATGAACATTAATGCATTAAATGAACAGTACTGTCATTTCCAGAGGTGAGGATCAGTTTAAAGAATCTACCCAGACTGCAATCTGGAAGCAAAATTTGTCCATGCAAATGAGTATTCCTGGCTCTTGCTTGACAGAAATCTAACTTGTGTTTATCCTGAAGACTGAATAAAGGCAACACAATGTGATGCCTAAAGGCATACAAGCAGTGATCCAGAAAGGCATTTTAGGTACATATTCACCTTCACCTTGTGAGTAATCCAATAAAATTAACAGAACAATTTTGGGTTAAAAAATTATGCATCAGTGATTTCTTGGATAAGAATTAAAATATGCAGTCCCTGCAAGACAAAATCACAGCAGTACTTTGATAAAAGACGACTAGAGGCATAGAGGTTGTGCCAGGAAAAGTTCTTATCATCCTTTTTGCAGTGTTTCTACCCTGAATTACTGTTTAGACAGGAAGAGCCTTCACGATTTACATGTTGTACTTACATGATTCATTTTTTTTAAAAGACATGAAAACCAAAGTCTTCATAAACTCTCAGTTTTAACTGAGAATAAATGGAACTTCTTCAATTTTTAATTCAGGTGACAATAATCTTGCTTTAAAAAGTGCAAAATAAAAGTATTTTTGTTTTATTACAGTGAATAACAAAGTGAATATTTTGACTGAAGATCAGGATAAAAACAGTTCATATTTTATTCTAGAAATACATAACTAGGGTTCACTTGCCCCTAAATGTTTATCCTTTATGTATTATTATTTATCAAAATGGAAATATCATTTACTTTTATAAATACTTATTGTAAATCAGATATCAATTTAAACAAGACAATAATCTTAACCAGAAGATGAAGAATCACAGCATTTAGGAAAATGCTTCAGGAACCCCTACACCACTTTGGCTGTCAAATCAAGGCCAGTTGGTGCTGCATTAATCTAGCATGTTACAGCTGTTAAGAGCTTTTCCAGGAAAGATAAAAACTACGATAAAATGTAAATTAAGATACCATCATACTGAGATGAAAGACTTTCCCAGAAATTTATATAGAATTGCTGAGACTATTTGGTGGAAATCTAGCTCCTGAAACCCATGACGAACACCGGCCTGATGAACATGGCAACACTCACTCCCTGTGTGCTCCCATGCTCCGTGGTAAGAAAGCACAAGGTGGTCTTTCCAAAGTGGTTACATACAGCTCAGGACCACTGCACAGAGCCTCTCTTTGCTCAAGCAAAAACTTGGGATACCTACCATTTTTGGAGGTCATGCCCTTTTCAAGCAGCTGCCATGCCAAACAGAACTGGCATAATACATCCCAGTTCAGGAGAGCCTGATCTCACCTTGTCCCTCTTTATCGCTCCCATGGTGCTGACCATGCTTCATATTGCTTCCCTACGCTCTTTGCAAAGATTGCTTCTTCTTATCCCTCTAATTTGTCTTCAAAACAGAAGTCAGCATTGCTCAGTTTGCTTTCTACAGTTTGCCTAGACATTTGTACTTTCATGCCAATGAATCTTTCCTTTTAAAATACTAGTTTAAAAATAAAAAAACAGGGCACAGAAGTTCACACAGATGTATGCTGATCTCATGATCCTTCTTGTTCCTCCTGAGCACTTTATTCTCTGACAAGTTCTGAACAATTCTGTTTATAAAATCTGTAAGCAAGCATCTTGTTTTGAGTTGGTTTTAAAAACACCATGCACAGATGTGCTGCTGAAGGAGTAACATGCTGTTCATTTGAGTATAAGCATTAGGTTTGAATATAGTGGTAGTGAGACTGTAAACATCAGTTAGCACATATTACTGGTACAAAGGAATTAGGGAAGCATACATATAACACTGCTCACCGATTTTTAGTGGTGCATCTGGTGCTGGTGTTGCATAGAGTAGATTTTCTGGCTTCAAGTCACGATGCACAATCCCATTTGCATGTAGGTACTAGAAACAGAGCAAATTAGAACATTTAAATGAGAATATGATGTTACGGTCAAGCATGAGTTAACATCTTCCTAATAATCTATAGCAGCACATTAGTAATTTGCATTGTGTGTGACAGTCACTAAACTAATGTTTAGCAGCTTTTTTTCTTCAAACCTATGCAGCACAGTATCTTTGGATGCATATTGTAATCTGAATAGGAAACCAAAATTTGGGAAGGCAAAATTAGCATCACATCCATTTGAGAAGAAAAACATCTTGGAAAGTTTTATTGACTTCTAAAATACAGTGGTAGCTTCTAGGAAATAATCTAATAGGCTGAGATACCGAAGTCTGGCTCAGAGGAAGGTAGTTTCTGCATGTTATAACATTCTGAGAGATTATAAAATGGGCATACAACTATTAAACAGACACCTTTGAGTAGAAAAGATGCAGTATATGTCCTGGGCCAATTATAAAATCCTTAAGGTCCCTCGAGCAGACTTCTCAAAGGTTTTAAAACCACCCAATTGCACTTTTAAAATAGTGCTTGTGCACTATTATGCAGCCCATGACAAATGGTTGACTATTCATCTAGAAAGCACAGCCACAGTGTGCACTTGAGTTAGCATCTGAGATTAATTTTTGACTATACATCTCATCGGAAATTAGTTTCTATAAGTTGCCAGTGATTGAATAACATTAAGAACACATTGCTCTTTCCTTAGACACCCTGGATAAAAATATATCTTTTTCTGCTAGTGAAAAAGTAACTGTAGCAAAGAAGCTCCCACAGCACAGCACTTACGTGTTTGACATGCAGAGGTAATAGTGGAACACAGGGAGTACACCAAAAGCAATCAGGTTGGAGTGGACAAAAAGAAATGTCTGAACACTGATGTGCATTCATGTGCTGCAAATCCATTGAGCTGACTCTGTAGAAGTGTCCTGGTTTCACCTACAGCAGTCATTTTTTCTCCATCTTAGTAGCTGGTGCAGTGCTGTGTTTTTGACTTTCAGTCTGGGAACAATGCTGATAACACCGATGTTTTTAGTTGTTGCTAAGTAATGTTCACTCTGACCAAGGACTTCTCTCAGTCTCATGCTCTGCCAGAGAGGAGGGGAAGCCAGGAGGAAGCGGAGACAGGACACCTGACCCAAACTGGCCAAAGGGCTATTCCATACCACAGCACGTCATGCCCAGTATATAAACCGGGGGGAGTTCCCCAGAAGGCCCAGATTGTTGCTCAGGTCGGGCTGGGTATCGGTCGGCGGGTGGTGAGCGGTTGTGTCCTCTCCCCTTGTTATTCCTCTTATCATTGTTAGTGGTAGCAGTAGTGGTTTGTATTATACCTTAGTTACTGAACTGCTCTTATCTCAACCTGTGGGAGTTACATTCCTCCGATTCTCCTCCCCATCCCTCCGGGAGCAGGGGGAGAAGGGAAGAGAGGGGGGAGTGAGCGAGCGGCTGCATGGTTCCAAGTTGCCGGCTGGGCTTAAACCACGACAAGGAGTGAGAAGGTTCAGACATTTCCTGACTGCTTGGTGGAAAGCAGACATTTCCGATTGATTCGTACAAAAAATCTTTGACCAGATTTGTGATGAGACCTGTTGCAAGCCTGCAGTCTTTTAGCAAGTCCTTTTATACATATGCCCACAGTCTTAAAACCATTTTATCTTGTGAGGCTGTAAATATCAAAATTTTCTTCTCTTTCCAGAATCACATTTTTGAGGAAGGGAAATTTGTGAAGAATTTTGAGAAAAGCTGTCCAACTTTTTCTCTCTTTTAAGGTATAATGTAAGAATGGCTCACAGGGCTCCTTCTCAGACATAGCAAAAACCATAACCAGCAACATCTGCTAACCATGCTTGTGCCTCATGACTGACTGACTTTTTAACATACTTCTATAGAACTTGCAGCACAAACTTTTTTTTTTATTATAAACTCATAAGACCACAGGTAGGAAAATTTCCCTTCTCTACCTAGTCCACCATTTGCAGAAGACTTGCAGAATGGGGTGCTCAACAAACATGAATTGTCTCACCAACCTAGCCCACATCTTTCAAAGACTGCCACTACAAGAGTCTGAGCTCTCTCTGTTGTGTCCACTCCTCATAACACCTACAGATACTCCTACTCTCCCCACCATACCTCCCCTTGTCTCTCCAGCATCCCAGCCCAGAATTCCTGCCCACCCACCATACCTCCTCTGACCCTTCCCTGTGGTCCTATGGAAGAGACCATCCTGTGGAAGAGACCCATCACAGTTGCTACAATCTCTAATCTGAGTCCGCTGCTCTGTCTTCACTCTACCACTGTTTCTTTTTCTTGACTTCATATTTGAGCACTGTGGTACTTGGTCCAGCCATGCATGTGGCTGGGGCTGCTCAAGCTGGCAGGTCATGGGTTTAGCAGACCTACGGTTCGCATCTCTTACCTTTGAAACCTAGCCTCCTGCCAAATTCTGTGGAGTTTGGCCAATAAGGTCAATAGCTTTTTTATGAACTAACAGAAAAAAGGGCAAAATGGACACCTTCCTTCCCCCCACTCCCTGAAGTGTTTTCACTTATGCAGAAATCCCATTCTTCACACAAAAGTGCCAGTTAGCCTCGTGGACCCCAGCCTCCCAAGGGGAAAGAATGCTGGATGGACTTCTGTAAAAGGTACCTGCCTCCAAACAACCTTGTCATAAAGCTCTCCAGTGCACGCAGTGACCTCCCATCCTCCAGCCTGAGCCACCCATCATTCCCTGAGTGCACCTCCTCCTTCCAAGACTGTGTCCATTTTCAGCATTTCCCTCTTTCTTGGTAAATACACTGGGACTTGCTGGCAAATTTTCACCAGTCCCAGCAGCTATGTTTCCCATGCAGTGCTATTGAAGACTACTTTGTAATTACATTATTTTGCTGATACGTGAACAGTATTCTGAACTAAAATACCTTGATTGAGAAACAGAATTAGTTGAACTGGCATAATTCACTTTGTATAACATTTATTTCAATTTATATATACTCTATTTTGATTGCTCTTCACTTTATTTCTCACATACTGATTTTAAACATCATCATATTGCTTTGCAGGCAGTGCCTCTGCAGCATAAGTTCAAAGACTCTCCCACTTTGGAGTACGGCTATATGCATTGCATACTGTCATTGCAAAATAGATAGCCTGTGCTGTACTATTTATATGCTATATCTCTTAGTGACTAAATGGTGTGATTAAACAAGAAGATCTGGTCTCAGGTATAAAGCAAGAGCAGTGTATGGACTCACTTTACAATCTAAGCGTGGCTGAATTACATCACTTTCCCCACCTGTGAGATATGGACAAGAGTTAGAACAACATTCAAATTCTACAGATGGATGAGGAGTTTTTAGATGCATAGTGCTGTACAACAGTTCAATGTAGCATGCACATAAAACATGATCATGACATGATACTCTCATAATAGCTAAAATGTCCTTTTCACTGTTTTCTGATTTTCAGTAGATAGTGCCAACCACTAGAAGAAAATAAAGGCATGGCAGTTGTCTGATTGCAGCTTTGCTAATTTGTGTTACTGAAATAAGGTGGATGCAGAAAATACGTATTTTCATCAAAATTCTCTATTTCCATGACAACATTACATGGATATATTTAGCTCTAGTTATGTCCTGTAACATCTACATACTGAAATGTGAAATTTACTTGTAGAATAACAGCATTTCATCTGGCCTGATGAGACGTGGATGGTAGAAAGGCCTCCACAGGAGCTCACAGCAAGGCCTGTGGAAGAAGACCTTGTGGAAAAAGTCTTCTCTATGCACAGCAGTTTCATCTGAGCAGCTGGCCAGTGGCAGAGGCAACAGAAATTATTCTTTCTCATGTACCTTCTCCTTTCTCCTCTATTTTACCTTTTTTTGATCCACATCAAGGCAGGTGCTATAAATAGAGATAGTACTGATTTTAAGGAACATATGGCTATTCTATTTAGTGAAAGAGAATGAACAAGTAGAAGTAAAATGGAAACCCTGAGCATTCTGTATTAAATTGGTGAATTTACATGCAAAGGAAATAAATACTGAAAAAATAAATATGTGCATCCTACGATCACACTTCTTTTTCAATTGCTTAGGCCAATCCGATGTAAGTAGGGCAGGCAGGTGAACTGACTATGCTTCAGGGATATAGCACGGTACTGCATCATTAGTGTAGAGCATCTCAGATAATCTGGGAGAAATGCATTCTAGCAAAATTGAGTATGATAGTCTTATTACTCTTTGATAAATGCTGAGGACAGACTTAGCATGGCACTAGGTGGGAATAATATACAGGCCCTTTCCTGAAAGGCTTACCAGTAAAATTAAACCAGCCTTCAACTTGGCCTTTATTCCTGTGGTACACAACATCTGTGAATTACTGTGACTTTAATTGTGACTACAGCAGAAAGCCTTTTTGTTTGGGTTTTTTTCTCTTTTTTATTTTGGGGGGGTTTCTTGGTTTTTGGTTTTCTGTTTAAGCTTCTTTCTACTTGCTGTGTGAGAGTTCCCTTTGCTCTTTGTTGTTGTTACAAAATAGAAAACAATAACTAAAATTATTTTGGAAATGCAGGGACCGTTTTGAGAGGTGTTGCAGAAGTGCTTCTGAGAATTCTTGCTTAAAGAGCTTTAAAAAAAGATACTGCCTATGATAGTGTCATAACCCAGCTCCATGGGTACAGCAAGGTACCAGTAACAGAAGTGTGAAATCAAGTCAAATACACAGCATAATCTTCCTTCTGCCACCATTCCCTTACTGCAGTCACACTAGCTTTGGGATTGAATGAACAAAATAGCATATTTACAGAAAACAAAATCAACATTGATTTTTTTTATGGACGTATTTCACTAAGTTTTGGATTTCTCTACCTAGAAAAAAACAAAATGGAGTCATAGAAAGGCACCAAATAATGGAAACTTCTCCAAACATCTTACAGAAAGCCTGTTCTTTGCACTTGTCTTGCTTTATATTGGTTGCTCTGGGAAACTGAAGAACACTATTA